CCGTTCACCATTTTCCTTTCCATAATTTATGTTTTCCAAGTGATAATAATACATTAATATATTTTCTATCTCTCGTGAGTGACAGGCAATCAATCGACTTCTACCGGAGACCTGTAGCATAGCAATCTACATGATCATGTCATACTAGTAAGACTCATAGGATAAAGATATATATGCAAGTGGGTTTCATTCAACTCTTTAAAACTTAATGCACAAATATAATTTAACTACAGAAAGTAGGGGTTATGCACCGGGGCTTGCCTGTTTAAGATATATATTAAAAGTTAGTATCTGCATCTTCAGATCATCCACCATCCATTGAATAGAAATCCCATTGCATTATGTCCTGGAGAGAATATCATTACACCATCTTCGGACTCCCAATCATTCTTCAATTGATCCATCGATCCACCATCGTACCTATATGATGTGCAATGCGATGCAATGCAAAGACGTAATTAATCAACTGCAATCGTAACTCGCAAAATACGACGTACGCCAATCGAGCTAATGGGCTAGTTCTAACGACGATCGTACTTAGGCTACATATACACGTTGTCAGATAAGACGCTATTTCCCAACAATTATTTTCGTTACATAAACCCAAGTCGTTTCTTTATCCCATTCTATCGATTTAATTATTATTCGCAATAGGACATCATTATCTATTTAGCTAACTAACTATCCCGGAGATACAAAACTTATAGTGAATACCTAATATTGCTAGGAACCTACTGTAAAGATTTTAGATCCAATACTATTACCAATTTATCACGAAAGTTCCTACAAGTTTGTATTTTGCAATATTAAGTATCTTAGATTTAATTATATAGCTCCCAAAAATATTGCCAAACTTTGTGAACAAAATATACTAACAGATAGAGCATGATTTTAGGAGACTAACAAAACTGGTTGCATAATTTTTGGACAGCTACATAAATTTATATTGATTTTATAAATTTATTCCTGAAACTAATTTAGCCAAACAAAACACTCAACAGGAAAGGACCTGGGCGGCCAACTCGGCTCGCAGGCGTGCGCGTGGCCCAACACGGCGCGGTGGCCCAGCAGGACAACCAACCGGCCCAGGCGCACGGCAGCGGCCAGCCCACGTGCGGAATCAGGCCAGCCCAGCGGATGCGTGGCCCGGGCGCGGAGCCCAGGCGCGCAGTGGCGTGGAAAATTTGCAAAACGATCCCTGAGCTTCTACTAAATCACGCCGTAGTACAACCAGTACTATTCCAATGGCTCACGTATTCACAGTAAAGACCTCGTATAAATTTTTGTTTTGGACATATACCCTTTACCTTGTCTTCTAAAGCAGCGCACCGGCAGGGGAACTCCGGCCGGCAATGGAACGTCGCGGGTGTGGTAGAACCTCCTAAGAAATCGGGCCCACGTGCACCTATCGTTGTCTCAACAGATCTTTGATAGCGTACACAAGTTCCCAACAACTTAACAGGTCTGTCGAGTGTCATCGGGAAGCATGAATCATCCACGAGTCTTTTTCAAACAGGATCCCAATCACAGACATTGCAGATTACAACAGTTTTCAATATACATACCAGAGATTATAAAGCGAAAGACTTAAGTTTTAATATTACAAACCAGTTATTTTCAACTTACAAAACCATAAGTGTCATACAACCATAGTAGCGGGATAATATTACATTAACATTATTTATTTCACACAAACTAGTGCCTTGTCCAAAGGCCATTCATCATTCCTCATCGTCATCGACTTCGAACACTATCATGCAGCAGGGACCAAAACAAGCCTACGCATGCGACTCACCTGCAACAAGGGTTAACAAACCCTGAGTACAAAAGTACTCAACAAGACTAACCCGACATAAAAGGGGCGAAGGTCTTAGGGATGCAGGTGTTGGGTCAAGGTAAGGATATAGCAATATTCAAAAGTTCTTTGCCAAAATCTTACTATTCTCGATCCTATTTTCAAGTTTTACCCCTAAGTACTTTGGTTCATTATCTCAAGCTAAATGTTCATATCCCATATTTCAATCCTTCTCATTCCATTCCTTTTTCTCATGTTTTAGTAATTCATCAGTCCTACATTGCTTCTGTAATGAATCGAGTCTCTATATGTAGAAAAACAATGTAGGACTTAATCTTTTGGCATATTCGAATTTAATCTTGCAGCTGGGGATTCGAATTGATTCAAGTCCCAACTGGGGATTCCTTATCACACGACATATGTAGAACTTAATCTTGCATATATCAACCTCGCTACCGGATCCTCCTATACTAAGCCGTCTCCACGCCACCCGAGAGCACAGCACACCTTAAATCCGGCCACATTCCAGCCACGAGGGTACACGCTACTCCCGCCATCTCTCCACTCCCGGTGCGTGGGCATTCGTCTTAGTATCGGATTAGCCGAAGTAGGCTTACCAGAGTATGTGACCAGTACTACAAAGTGTCTCGTTCAGAAGATCCACAATGAGTGGCCTTTAAGCTATACAGTCGGCAACATTACCCAACATTCAAGATAAGTCACCCGACTAGTCTCTAGTTCATTCTATCTTCTTTCTTTCTTTGGCCAGTATGCCATCTTTGATTGTATCGAAACTTTTATTTTGAAAGCCTACCATAAAGCATACTAAGCATTCTACGTCTTTGTAAATAAAAACATCTTCAAGGATGGTAAACAATTAACAAGGTAGGCAATGCATCAAGTAGGTAACATTTGAATAAATCAACTTAATGCAATAATTAATATAGGTGATAAACTTTTCAAAGTAAACAAGGTAATGGTTTAATGCATAAACCGGGGCTTGCCTTTGTTGGCGATCTCAGGTTCCGGATCAGTACCACCAATATCGAATCCCGAGACAACCAGGGATTCTTCCACAACTTGCTCAACTAGAATTGGTTCACTCTCGGATTCTATACGAAAAAATAACATATGCTTCAACATGATGATAATGTAAACATGATGCTTTCATGGTGCATGAAATATAATAACACCTTGAATACAACTTTCCTTCGCGGTACAGTTGCAAGCCAACAAAACCAACTTGCAATTCTACCATCAAGGACCACGCAAGTGACTTGACCAAATTGACCTTGAAACCCTACTGGTCACAAAACATGACCAAAACAAGATCAAACCCTAACTATCACTTAGGGTTTGCTTTTATTTATTTTTGAATTAATTGGGAATTAAGCTCAAAAATAAAATTGTTTCAAATGGCCTCAAAATTTTATGCAAGCTTCCTCATGACAAGTTAGTGTAGCAAAACAAATTTTATAATTTTTGGAGTTATACAGTGGCCTACAAAAATTATGGAAATTACATTTATTAATTAATTGCCTGAATTTTTTAACATTAAAAATTTATTCAAATTTCAAGTTTCATATTTTTAAACCATAATAGAACATGTACAGAAGCTACACATAAATTTTCAGAATTTTTAGAGCTGTAATTATTTTCGTATAAATTTCCAAAGTTGTTGCACTATTCAAAAACCAGAAAAATACAAAACCTCACTGTTCTCTCTCTCACTGACGACCCGGTTCCGCTGTCAGCGACACAAATACAGGACACAACGGCGTTTTCGGCTGTAGCCGGCCAAACTCGCCGACGGCGAGGCTCCGGCGAGGCAAACCGCACCTGCATGACCTACACTATCCTGCGAATCTACCCCAACCCTCAAAATAGCAGCAGGCTCACCAGAGGGAGCTCTACGCCGGTCATGGCGGCGCGGGCACGACGGCGCACGACGTAACTACGGCTACGATGCAGTAGAGGCTAAAGCGGAGCGAGTATCACGCTCAGGAGCTCACCGTGAACACGACAGTAGACTCGGTGAAGGCGGAGACGGTCTGGAGCGGCTTGGCCACGGTGAGGTCGGTCGTGGCGGAGCAGAGCAGAGAGAAAAAAGGAGGACGACGGAGACGGTGCTCCTATATATAGTAGAGAAGGATGCGTCCGACGTCGACAACTCACGAACGAGCTCGCCACGGAGCCGGCTGCGTGTCACCGCGCGAGAAAGCGGCAAAGAAGGTCAGCGGCAAGCAGCTGCGTGGCGGGGGTGACAAGCTGACGGTGGCGATTTTGATTTTTGAAATATTTACAGAATTGCCACTGAGTTTATTTTGCAAATTACTCACAAATTTTCTAAAGAAGTTGAAAATCTCCAAAAATGAAAGTTGCTCAACTTTTCAAACTCTACAACTTTTCTTAAATGAACATTTTCAAATTCTGCATCCATTTTGAAATTTGAATTTGGGGTGCATTTGAGCATTTAAATCATTTTAAAATTACTCTAAATTTTATATGTAAACTTTAAAAACTTTGAATACCAAAGTTGATCCTTATAAAATAAGCTTCAACTTTGCTTTTTGTCACACCCCCAAATTCCAAATGGATTTTGAAATAGACAAAATGGGTAAAAGGACTTTTATAATTTGAATTTGAATTCAATTTGATTTGTTTACTTTTTTACTTAATTATGGTTTTTTGACCAATTACATGGTCCATTAGGGTTATTTGAGTCAAATGACACAGGGTCTCATATGATCACATGAAATTTTACCCTTGTGGTCATGGTTTTCATTCAGAGTTTTGAATCACATTACATCATATAAAATAACAACTTATGAAATAAAGTTTATTTAATAAATGCATTCAAAATTTTCTACTTTATAAATACTTTGCAATGTATATGATGACATGTCAAGTTTTAGTTTTAGGTCAAAACACCAGGGTGTTACAGCGGAAAAGGCGATCCAGGCGCGGAAAGGGGCAGCTCATCGGCGGGGCTGGCCACGCGGGGCGCTGCGGCTCTGGTGGCGGAGCTTGAGGCGGCAACAGCAGCGGCCTCGCTGCACTGGAGGTGGCGCACGGAGGACGCACGTGCGCGGGGAAGGAGCGAACGAGAGCTTCCGGCGGCCGAGGATTGACCAAGGCCACCGCGGCCAGGCAGCGCGCGCCAGGAGGTAGGCAATGGCGGCTGCGGCGGCCGCGAGCGGGGAAAATGGAGGGGACACCGACGCAGCATGCAGAGGAGAGGAGGCGCGGGAAGGCAGCGCCGAGGGGCAGCAAGTGCCGCGCGGGAACGAGGGGCTCGCTCGCTCGCACGCCCGTGGATGACCGGCGACGGACGACAGGGGGCGCGGTGGCTGTTGCACTGGGAGGGGCAGCGTGGAGGGCGAAGGAGAGGGGGCGCGCGGGTGCTGTGGAGCAGCAGGAACAGCGCGACACAGGGGGCTTGCGCGCGGAGGTGGGGGCTGCGCGGACACCGGCGAGGCGCTGCGGCTGTGGCGAGTCGCCGTGGAGCAGCAGCGTGCGGAGGAGGCGTGGGGCTACGGTGGCTCCGGCGGTGGCGTTCCTGGGCTTTCAAGGCATGGTAATGGCGTCCACCTGCGCATGCTTTAAGGCAGACGACCCCTGGACGAAGCGAGGCAGAGCCACGGGAGGGACAGCAGGCGACCAGACAGGCAGCAAACACCACACTCTTGTCCAAGGATGGCCGCGACGGCACATGCAGCAGCAGACAGCGACAAGGGCAGCAGCGCGAGCCGAACACGGCAACGTGCGCTACAGCGGCAACATTGATAGCGGCACGGCGCTACATTGTTGGCAAACGATAGGTGGGGCCGTCGTCACAAACCATATCGCAGCTGGCCGCTATAGAACGTGCAGTCACCATCCGTGCAAGCTTGTGAAAAGTCACCCCGGAGCAGGCCGCTGATGACCCATCAGCAGCAGCGGAGCTGGAATGGCTCGGGAATCTGGCCAGCATCAAGCTCGCCCTCGCCGTCGCTTTTCTTGTCTTCGGTTTCGTGCTTTATATGACCGCCAATGTCATGCTCGCCGCTCGTAAGTCGTAACTGATGAGGGCCGGGGCAAAATGAAAAAAAAAAAACTATCACCAGCAGGCAGCAGCTCGTAGTAGTAGCCAGGGAGTAGTAGTAAAGTTGCTCATTGTAGAGTTGTAGGAGTTTATCTTAGTTAGTTAATCACTAGGAGTAGTAGCTCTGAAATCTGATGTGCTCCCTCTGGCGGAATTAACCACAGTAAACCATAAGTTCGTGGAAGCAAGGATAGCAACGGACAACAAAACAGGCAACAGCTAGTCGTGGCCAAGCCTCCTCCAGAAGCAGCACGTCTCTGTGCCTTTCATTAAAAAAAAATTTGGACAAGACCAGCTCAGGCAGCAGCAGTAGTAGCTGGGCCTCCGCGTTGCATCGCACAGGAAAAATAGTACAAGGCAACAGCAAGGACACTGGCTCGGGCGGATGCTCGGCAGATGTGTGTGCGTGTATATATATATATATATATAGACACGCTGAGAGAATGCTAGAAGGTGTAGTCGACTGTCAGCTCATGTACGTTTATCTGCAGCTTATCTGCAGCAAGAAACTAAGATAGAGAGAGAGAAAAAATCAAAGGCCGAGGACAGAGCGAATACGTCAGAGCACGTGGTCTGACAGGGTGTGCCGGTTGCCACGGACAAGACTCGGCCGCAGAGACAAGTAAGACAGACAAAGACATGCAACGAAGACAAGAAAAGGCATTGAAAAACAGACATGCGAGATAGAGCGGGGAAAAGAAAAAGGACCTGTCGCACCACTGCGCCCATAAAAATATCGTATGTGATAGCTCATACTCGTACTAGGTCATGGAACAAAATATTAAAACGTTATATGATTATTTTACGCGAAACAAGCCGCCACAAACAACGCTTTAAAATATACTTTACGCGAAAAGCTAGTTTTTAAAATTTAAAATCCGAGAAAATTGTTTCGGAAATTTTATTAGACCTAAATCACAATGCTAGATAAGATCGTAACACCAGGGTGTTACATTGGTCTACGGCAAATGATAAAATAAAGAGTCTGCCTACTACACAACTAGGTGTTTTATACAGTTTCAACACATAAAAATTTTTACACTATAAGATTAAGATCCAACAACATCCATCCTTCTTCTACCTCCAGCCTCCACAGATCACAAATCATAATTTTTTTCTATGAAAGGACAAATCATAGATCCGCCACCGCCACTGCCATGGCCGGGGCGAGCTCACCGGTCGCCGTCGTCGACGCGTCGGTGGTCACCGGTGAGAAAGAGAGAGGGAGAGAGATAAAAAAATCCATATTTTTTTTTGCTAAAACACATGTGTGTTGTATAGCATTTCTGTAAAATAAAATGTTCTATCTTTCTAGCTACAGTAGCTTTTATTATGTATCTAGATAAAATCATTTTAACACTAAAACTATTTATAATTTATAATGGAAAGGAATATCTCATCTAAAACTAATTTTCACTACAAATTCTATCTCAACGTACAAGACATGCACATCATCCTCCACTAACTATCTATATCATGTGTTTTTTCATTTCATGTGTTTTTATATGAAAATGAATTGATTCCGATGAAATTCCTGTACAATTCCTACGAAATTATGTGTTCCAAAGGGGCCTAAAAGAATAGATCAAAATTGCAGTATAGAAAGTCAACCAGTTGCTTCCTTAATAAACGCACCATCCGCTAAGATCTGCAAAGAGCTAACAGATATGACGGTTTATACTCTCACTGGTCTTTCGTTGGTGCTAGATCAGACATTGTCGAGATAGGAAGAGGCTAGAAAAACCCAAGATGAAACAAGAAATAACAAAAAAACTAAATTTATGAAGAGAATGAGTTCGTACGCCTTTGGCCACCCATAAGGTCGTCGGTACAGAGAGAGAGGAGGGGACCTTGGCGATGGTGGTGAGAGGGCCTAAGCGGCAATGATTGGATGAGCAAGTCTTTTGTTTTGAGGAATCCTACTTAAAAAGTTTGCATTGTGTTCATCGTCCAACCACCTTGCGCTTTGGGCACCATCCCTCCATTCGATCGAATGCATAGACAGGCACCATGCAAGCTTGTCCATTTGATCTTGCAGCACAGGACCCAACCACTCTCTCCCACTCCCTCTCTCCTCACAGGCTTGCTCGAGCTCCCCCACGTGCTCTATGCCTATCGGTGTTTCGAACAAACACCGGCTAGTAAATTTATATTTATGCGCGTTAGGCCCGGATGGTGCGCTAAAGGACACAAGGTTTATACTGGTTCGGGTTGAATGTCCCTACGTCCAGTATGTTGCTGCTTGTGTTATTAGCACCGAAAATGGTTCGTAGTAGGGGGTATAAACGGTCGAGAGAGGGACTGGTCACATGTCTCTGATGGAAGGGTCAAAAGGATGCCAAGAGCCTGGTGGCGGCCTGGCTATTTGCGTGATGTGTGGAACCGAACTCTCTATGAGTTCATCTGTGTGTGTGTGTGTTGTCCGTCAAAAGTCGGTTATCCCTTTAGCGGGGAGCCCTGCCCTCCCTTTTATAGACCAAGGGGGGAGCAGGGGTTACAGATGGGTGAAAGAGGAAAATACCACGGGCATAGAAGGTCCTTCGAAGGGTCTGGGTCTTTCTTTTCCTCCAAGCCAGCCTTGCCGACACGGCCAGCTGGTGTCAGAGGTTGACACGTTCGCCGGGTACTTGGGTGCTGATGACGCTGCGCCTTTACTTGATCTGCAAATGGTCCTATGGGGAGCGGACGGTGCGGTGACCGCTTGTTCATCACTGTAGAGGATGGGAGTCAACTCTTGGACTATAGTGGTTGGCATATGTTGGTGTCCGGTTCTTTACCTGATGGCTTAAGGTGGCGCCCACAACACTATTCAGCCCATGTCATGCCTGGAAGGGTCTAAAGCGCCCATCCCATCGTGCTCTGATAGTACTTTCCCACAGTGGCGCAGGGCATGGTCCTTGATGCCGCGGTTGACCCGATCGTCTTGTCTTACCCTGTGTCCGTCATCACGAAGGAGCGGGGTGCAGTTGTCAGGTGAGATGGTGCCTAGTCCTTGGCCGTTGGGCAAGGCAGAGCTTTGCTTTTTAACCGTCGGGCGAGGTGAAGCAGACCCTGGTCATCGGGTGAGGCGGGGCCCGCCCTTAGCCCTCGGGCGAGGTGGTCCTTGCCCTCAGCCCTCGGGCGAGGCGGAGCTGGCCCTCAGCCATCGGGTGAGGCGGGACCCACCCTTAGCCCTCGGGTGAGGCTGTCCCTGCCCTTAGCCCTCGAGTGAGGCGGAGACCAGCCCTCAGCCCTCGGGCTAGGCGGAGCCGGCCCACGGGCGTTGGGAGGGGCGGAACCAGACTCCCGTCGTTTGGGTAAGAAGCGTAGTAGTGCTCTCGTCCGTCCGGGAGTGTTTAACGTTCGATGGTTTTTAGTTCTACCTCCTTGGATACCCTGGTATTAGGTCCCCAACAGTAGCCCTCGAGCCTCCGGATGATTCGGATAGAATCGCCCAGGGGGTGTTCCGATTTCGTCGGAATTAATTTGTCAGAGGGTGTGCACGAGCGCACCCGGTGGGTGTAGCCCCCGAGCCCCCGGGTGATTCAGACAGAATCGCCCGGGGTGTTCTGATTTCGTCGGAATTAATTCGTCAGAGGGTGCGCACGAGCGCACCTAGTGGGTGTAGCCCTCGAGCCCCTGGGTGATTCAGACAGAATCGCCCGGGGGGTGATTTGATTTCATCGGAATTAATTCGCCAGAGGGTGCGCGCGAGCGCACCCGGTGAGTGTAGCCCCCAGGTGATTCGAGTAGAATCGCCCCGGGGTAGTATCGGACCCTCCGCGGGTAAGGCCGTAAGACTTGGTTTTTCGTCAACTAGATATTTTTAAGGGGATTGCGGTATCCCATTCGTTGGGATTCCATTCTGGGCCGTCCTGGCTGGGGCTCGACTGTGGATCGAGGGCCCGGTGATACTCATATCTTTGAGTCCTGGTTGTTTGCGGGCCCATCCTTCATCGGGACGGTCCTTGGGCTCTGGGGCCCTAGGTGGGTCAGAGAGAAAAGCTTTGTGACCCATGGGAAGAGAGTCCTGGTCCACCTGGGGAAGGCGAACCGCTTGGCGTGACTCTTGCGGGAAGGGATAGGGATCGCGTGCCGTGTCCCGTGACGTGACGTGACGGTGCGTCGTGGTGGGCTCAGAGATCGAGGTGGACCGTTTCCATTCTCGCATCCGTCGCCCCTATAAAACCACGAGGTTTGCCCCTAGGGTTCCATACTTCGCCTCCTTGCCCTCGCATTCTCAGCCTCCGTAGCCAATCGCCTGAGCTTCTCACGCCCGCACCACTCCCGCCGTCAAAACTCACCACTGCCTTCTTCCCCCTGCTGCTCCCACCATCGCAATGGACCCAGGATATAGATCCAACATCTCCCCTCAGCGCCTTGAGGGCCTAGTCCACCGAGGCCTCCTTCGCCCGTTGATCGCCATTGAAGAGTGGCGGCTGCCCGGTGAAGAGGATGAGCCGTAGCCGCCTGAAGGGTACATCATGTCTTTTGCTCACTTCCATGAGCGGGGGTTCACCATGCCCGCCCATCCGTTCTTTCGGGGACTGCTGGACTACTATCAGGTGGAGCTACATCACCTTACCCCAATGAGATCCAGCATATTACGGCGTTTGTCGCCCACGAAGGACTCTGCTGGCGTCGTCCTTGACTTCGTGTATCCGGTGCCGGGGCATCCCCGATGCGGCCGGAACCGGGTTTGTTGATTTCGTAAGTTTTCTTTCCCCTTGCTCCTCTTTTCACTTGAATTTCCGACCCCCTGATGTTAACCTCGGGATGGCGGGACCAGCCGGGGGGACTATCCTTCAAGAACAACTGGCTCTGCTGCCGAAGGACCCAACCCAGGCGGCGGCGAACCA